TCGATTCGATCATTGAACTGGTTGCACCCGCAATATTTATGCTTGTTAATTTCCAAGGACTCTAAATAATTCACTTTGTAATCCTTCCTTGCATAGTGCAAAATTTCCGTATCGTTTAGATTCGGGATCTTGTGGTTGCAAGCCAAAGAATGGTTTGAAAACGTCGAATAATTTTTTCTCAATATGAAGGTCCTTTCATATTCAGCATACTGTTTTTGGAAATTTCGACCACATTATCCCACATAAACACTATCACACTCCGGATACTTAAGCTTATATAAGCTCCAGATTTCTCCAACTTGTCCACCTTTTCTTTGACATTGAAAAGGAAATCAGATAACCTGAATGCCACTTCCACATTGTTTTTTCTGAAGAAACCCGCAATTATCTCTGTTGTCTTCCCAAAATATGTTAGAGTTACCCATTTATTGATTTCTGGTTGTTTGACCTGAAGTTATATTAATCTGTAAATGAATTTACAGGCTTTGTTGACCTGAGGTTATATTAATCTGTAAATGAATTTACGGCTTTGTTTTTTGTTAGATCAAGCCAAAGTAGACCATATCACTTCCTTTGAAGTTTCAACAGCTTTTGATGTGTGCCTAAATCAAAGCTACCCACAGTTCAACAACACATTTCATTAACCCTTAGTCCACTTTTAGCAAACATATTTAATGAACAACTCGGAGACCACCATAGCAAATTCCGAAACATATTCATTTTCGGTACAGATATGTAGTATCTGTATGTATTCTCGTCTGTTTCAGAGTTACTACACGACAGCTGAACCAATTTATGACATTCATGAATATTCCCAATAGCAACATTCAGTTCACACTCGAAACAGAGATAGAGGAACAGATAAATTTCTTAAACCTTACTATTACACACAATCAGAATAAATTTGAGTTCAATGTTTTCAGAAAACCTAGCTATACAGACATTACCATCCCAAACGATTCTTTCCATCCAGACAGTCATAAATTAGCAGACTACAATTCAATGTTGCACAGAGCATTCTCACTGCCTATGTCTGCTAACAATCTAGGTAGGGAAATTGATATAATTACACAGATAGGTCATGATAATGATTTCAACGCAGATACTATCCAGAAGTTAGTAAAAAAACAAAGCAGTAAATTTGTTTACGTTATCCGTAAAATTTTAGAAAAACTCCTAAAAGGTGAGCAACCAGGAATACATTTCAATTATCTTTCATATCACATACGAGAGCTGCTGCCATCATCGATGAAACGAGGAAACCTTTTGTTTGTAGCGATAGGAACTATCGAGTACAAAAAAGGGATTGGAAAGTTTTTTTTTAATTCAGAAAATGGCTCGAATGTCTTGAACGCTGAATTCTGTCGATTGTATATTTTACGCTTTAGGCGGTTTTAATTGATCAGTGTTCCTTTCGACAGTGATATTTGGTTGAATAATTCGTCGGTTTAGATTATCAACTGTCGATTTGTCTCTACGGAGGATTTTAGATATCAGTCCTTTTTTTGGTGGAAAAGGAAGTCAACGTCTCGTGATTATTAGGGAATCGGTAATCGGAGGTGAGTTCTTATAATTTCACTAAGTTGAATAGGTTTCCTATATTTCATACAGCTCAAATTTCTATAATAAAATCACTACAATCATAAATATGATTTTCTAGGCGTTTAACCCCATATATTGAAATCATCTCGAGGGAATAAAAATTACTCGGAGGAGAATATATTCGCTGGTCGCAATACCGTTATATTCATGGTCGCCTCGTAAGGATATAATAAGGAAAGTAAACACCCGTTCCAGGAAGTGCAGTGCTCCGTACAATCCAGAAATCTGGCTAAGTAGCGCATAGCGGAATTTGTTCTTGATCATTTATTTTGCTTTCCGTAACTTCCACGGGCCAATATCTACATTTAGTAATCATCAACTGGGAACTTCTTTCAGCGAATATTGTTTAAATGTTTTCTGTCATTAGTATTAGTTATGTAAGTTTTGTGTAATGTCTTTATAGGGGACTGGACGAAGAACTAGGTTACAATACAGATCTCATCCACTCCTCTTCTTCCCTCTCATGAGAGTGTTCTAAGTGCACGAACCCCCCCAGCCAATTTAAATCTTGTTTTATTCATTATATATTTATAGATAAGCCAGTATATAATATATTTATATTAAATTGATACCGTAGTCTGCCAAAGTTCATTATCAATTGGTTACTTTTTAGAGTAGATCTTATAGATTCAATTTCTCTAATTTCTTTATTTTGAGTCAGGATTGAATATTTGAATCTATTGGCGCCCGTTAAAGTGACACCTAGTATTTCAGAAACTCACCCCTCTCTCCCTGTTTAGGCTAGCTGTGAGCATAATCCTTTACTTCACCTTGTTTACGTAACCATTTGGTAAAGTTGTTTTTTTGTACAGTTCAAAGCAGATAAATTACGTAACAAATTCACTTACAGAAATGTAAAGACATAACATAAAGAAATGAGTAACTCTAACATATTTTGGAAAAAAACAGAAATTATTGCGGGTTTTTCAGAAAAAACAATGTGGAATTGGCATTCAGACCACATGCTTCATGCATCTAATTTGCTTTTCAATGCCAAAGTTGGAGAAATCTGGAGTTTATAAGCTTGAGTGTCCGAAGTATAATAGTTTTTATGTGGGACAATCTGGTCGAAATTTCCAAAAACTATATGCTGAACATGAAAGGTCCTTCAGGACTAGAAAAAAATGATTCGACATTTTCAAACCATTCCTTGGCATGCAACCACAAGTTTCCGAATCTAAAAGATACGGAAATTCTGCACTATGCAAGAAAGCGTTACAAACCTAATTATTTAGAATCCTTGGCAATTCACAAGCATATCCATTTATTTTTATCATCCAAGTAATACGCATCAGATATTTCAGACAAAGATTTTGATAAAATAGAGTTCAACGAATGACGAGAGGTATTATAAGAGGAAAAACAGGTGACAGTGAGAGGGACGAGGCTGATTGAATACCTAAACCAACAGAGTTAACTAGGACAGTAGCTTCAAATTTATTGTTGGTAATTTTTTGTAAAGATTGGCGTTAGGTGAAATCGAATTCTTGCAACTCTTTTTGGCACATCTAAGTGGGACTGCATCTCAAGGTATACAATAATTTGGGGATTGGCAAACATTATTTTGAGGGAAAATATGCTATTTGGGAAGTAAGACTGTTGAGACGAGATGTCAATGAAATTAGAGACTCTGTTTTCTGTATGAGGCAATCTGATGAAGACTCTACAGAAGGAGGAGCTCCCAATAACGACTATTGTTCTTTGGGGGCGATTTTGTGGATAAATTATCGTGAATGGATTTGTGAGCATCTGAAGAAGAGCAAACATTTCACATTTGTCGAAATTTAATTCAAGTCCAATTTCATTATAGAGGTGAATAATTTTTGAAATTCCTGGAAGACAATATTTATTTCACCACCAATTGAAACATCGTCTAGGTACCAATGATTGAAATTGGTATTGAAAGACATTGTCAGTTCATTGAAAGTGAGGCAGAAAAGAGCAAGACCTAGAGAATCGCCTTATTGAACTCCTCTCTGAAATAGGATGGTATTTTTTCCAAAGTTAAAAATGTTGAATTTCGATAACATCGGTTGATGAAAGGAAAAAGGCTAGGAATAATTTTGTAGCTTATTCGCAAAATGATTTTTCTTTGAACCATGTTGAAGCCGTTTTTATAATCTAGTTCAACAAAAATATAAGATGTATGTTCAATTGCTTCGCATCCCCTGGAGTTCCAAATCCAAATTGAACAGGAAGAAATAAATTTCCTAAAAAAGCAGAAACATCTATACATGATAATTTGTCCAGTAGGCGAAACAAAACCAGAACTTTATGATGTCAAGTCTTGTAAATGTGAAGATCTGAGGTAGACTATTCCCCCTGCGGAACATTTGCGAAATAATCTGATCGCTCTTAAGATTTGTTTTTCGTCAACTTGGAATAAAGTACTGTTTGTGTCAGGTATTGGTTCTTGACAGACGTCAGCAGGATGTTGAGCTTGAAGTTCAGTTAATGTGAGATCATCAAAATCTGCAAAACTGTCCGTTGAAGTCAAAATACGGATAGCCGAAGTGAGATCGGCATCCGAAACTTAATTCAATAGAGATTTTCAGAAATTCGTTTGTGAATGAACCTTTCTGAACAGGCATTGGAAATGTTATTATTGATGAGTGAAGTGAGATACTTTTTTCGATTTTCTTTAGGTGGTGAAAAACAAAACAAAGCAAATAATCCCGGTGATCTAACGAATTGCTTTGAATGCATTAATCGATGGGTTTGCTCAAAGCTTCTGCGGCACATATTCTTGTTTCTTTCGAATTCTCTTCAATATGTGAGAATTGAATTTGTATAGAGAAATTCTATCATTATTAGTTTTGGTAGAAATTGCACCAGATTTGGATTCAACATTCGGACTCAGTGCACAGGTTTGGATGAAAGGGGAAAACGTTGTTGAGACTCAGATTTATGAATTCTTGAAGAATTGGTTCTCAAACCTTTTGTTTTCAATTTCTTATTGCAAGATTGACAAAACGTACATCATGACTGCTGGATGAAGGATACTTTTCGTTTCGAGTGTAGTACATTGCTTCATCATTGCTTCTCCCACTTATATAAAATGTTCAACAAATTTCTTAGATGGTTTTGACAGCATCTCACAAAAGATATATGATATACGTACTGTTTGGTGATAGGGATTTGCACCGTGGAGAAACACGGACTCAGGAATTGAAGCAAAATTGGTTTTTACCGAAGTGCAAAAAAACTTGAGAAGTCACTGAATTGGGAACCTTATTGGTTTTACTACAAAGTCATACGTAAGTTTTTGAAAAATATATTTTCTCAACTCAATTTTGGTAATTTTATGTCCAATTACCTTACAAACAGTAAGCCACTTTTTATCAATTCGTACTTCAAAGGGATGGAATACCGAGATTCTTCAAATTGAAAAATAAACGTCTTATTAAAACTGCTCTTTATTATTGTATTCAGTGATGAGTGGGTTTTAGTGAATTATGCAATAAGCAACGCTGTCGACTACTTTGATGAATTCTTCTTTAGCTGCCGGCACATTGGAAACGACGCATGTTGGATGAGCTGCTCTTACAAATTTCACAGCTTCGGAAAGTGCATCAGCCATTTTCGCTAAGACCTCACGTGGTGTTTGCAGGACAACGCTAAGGGAATTCTTGAAAACCTATGAAAATTAAAAAAAATCATCAAATGAAACTATTGAAAATTTCCGAGTTACCTAAAAAATATTTTTTTTTATTTCTTTCACTTGGGTAAATGATTCCAGCGCATGAATATTTTCCCATTTGTTTCTACAATATCACGTCTGGGGTTTTAGATATAATGAATTTTGAAATTAACAGAAATTAAATTTTAATTTGCCACTAGTATTTCCATTCAATATAGATATCTATTGTCCCTAAACGTCATTATTCACATATTACAAATGATATTTTTTACAAAGAGTAGGATATTTTTAAAAAATCGTCCCACATCTAACCTTAATATTTCAAATGTGTACATTTCAGATCCATACATCCTGTACATTTTTGTCATTATTTATAATTTTCACAAGAGTGAATACCAATCGAACGACTGATGATATTTCTCTAAAGTATATTTCAAGTTGACCTGCCTCAATCGATGCACAAAAGTTTTGATGAATAATGACTTTATTTCTCCATCCGAAACCGCTTCCACTTGCATGTCAAAAATCTACATTATTTCATTTTTCCAATCTGGAAGCAGGTTCAATTGCTATCAAACTTGTGATGCACTATTTAAAACCTTTGGGGTTAGGTTAGGTCCAAGTGTTTATTGTGGCTCACACCTATTCACAGTCAACCAAACAAACCCAGCTTCTCAACAGAGCCGATTAGTTTGTATGGTGAGTGGTCTTCCAGGTTAGATGGTAAAAGTACGGCTCTGTCGAACTCTAAAAACCTGATTCGGTCCCCAGCGGGGCAGGCACAAAGTAGAGAGTCACAGTCTCTGCATATGGTGAATCAAATGACAGTGATCTGTAAGAAGACTTGTTAGACATCGTAGCCCATCCCAACTGTTTTTTATCAAGCTTCGGAGGATGAATAGACGCCTTGGAGTGAGCCAATCCTGGAAGATTCTGCCAGAGTTCCATACATATTCTTGTCATCCAGATGTTCAGTCTTTGTTTGGCAAAGCCTAAAGCGATACCAATGACTAGTTCTAGCCCGATGAAGCTGCTTGCAAGGAAGTAATTAGCCATTATGGCTAGGAATCCACACCAGAAACAATCTGTTGAGTCTTCCTATCGAAAAGAGTCGATTTAGACGTTGCACGGTAGAAACCAAGAGCTGCCAACGCTGCTTGTCTGTCCGAGAATATTTTTATTGACTTGAGTTGAGGTTGGATCCTTCCAATCTCTCCGCACACAATTCTAGAGCGTGAATTTCCGCTTGAAATACAGTCGCATGGGTTCCTGAGTCTGTGACTAAAAACACCTGCACCAGAATCGGTAAGTGTTTTTGATCCATCTGTAAACCAACAACTTTCTGCACTTTTCCATTTCCAGAATGCTGTAACTTCCAGTGTCTACCAACAGTCTGTTAAACTGCATTGAATTGATTTGTGCAATTGGCAATGTGCAAAACTCTATATGCACTCCATCTAGCTTCTCTCTCCAGAAAAAAGTGGAGAGAAGGTAAATCTAGATGGATCTCCATGGCCGCTGACGATGTGGTACTGATGGTACCACTGATGGCCAGACAAGAGAGCTTGGCATGGACCGTTTTCTGTAAAGCCTTCGGCCACCAGGTAATTGCACCATAAGTGATCAATGGTCTGAAAATCATGACATAAATCCAATGGATTTGTTTGGGACCTAAACCACAAGTTTTACCACAAATCCTTCGACATATCCATAGGGAGAGTCTGGCTTTGTGTAAAACGCTTTCCAAGTGAGCGTTACAGGTAGGTTTTTCATCAAGGAGTTCTATCCCAACACCAAACCGGTATTTTCAACACCTCGAAACATGTTTCGATCACCAAGTGATCGTCTTCAAAAGGAAGATTATTCTTCCTCTTGAAGATGATCACTAGTTGACTGAAACACGTGTCAAAGTGTTAAAAATAACAATTTGGGGTTGGAATATAGAACTCTAGTAATATTTTTCGCTATCATATTGTTTTACAATTATTTTCGATGGAACTTTATTATTGTGAGACAACAATGAGTTTATTTTCGTCCGTATAGGACGAAACTGCAGTAACGTTAATTACAAATAAAAGTGGTAAGAAACATAGAAAGTTTCATTTCTCTTTTCTTCATTATGATTTCCTATCACGCAGTAACGTCTACATCTATCAACTTATAATAGTGAGTACTGTCAGTAGCTGATCAAGAATATATTGCAGCTTTCTGTAATTGATGAAACGATTCATAACCAAACAAATGATGTGTTGTCAGTATCACAGAAAGACAGTTGCTGAATTTTGCATCTACATTTTTTCAGTCATATAGTCATTGAAACATTCATAAACAAATATGCTTTACTTCCATTAACATTATGTTTTATATTTCCCGCCAAAAAGTCTTTTCTAATTGATTGATTTATCTCAATGATTTTTTTATTCCATTCGAAAGTTATATTTTTTTTACAAAAATATAATCACGAATCTGTTGATACTTACCCCAATTGCGCATTGTACTTGTTCTGAGTCACTTCCGGCGCAATACTGAATTCCGTCCGCGGCCTTGAATAAATCGGATTTCAAGCTTTGCACATAAGGTCCTAGGTCAGCGACAGATTTCAACAATGGCTCCATCAGAGGTATTCCGCATTTTGTAACGCTACCAAGGAAGTTGAGGGCAGCGATTTTTCCTGGGTTTCTGCCACTCTCCATACAGTCGATGAGTTTGGCGGTATTTTTGTCTCCAGCTGGAAAATAGAGTAGAGACAATTGAAGAGTGCATTATTGAATATATACCTGGAATTCGAATAGAATGATTGCAACGATTCTCATATCAGAATGAATATTTCTGTCGTTTAACCGCATGACTACCTACTTTTATCTATCTACAATTAAACATATTCCTTCATAACGCTGTCTATAGCTGAATATTTCATTTTCAGGAAGTTTTCAATTAAAATACATAGGTCGAAATGCATACTCTTCATGAAGTTTTATGGGTTTTGGGTTGTGTTTAAACACACGATTTTTCACTTATCCTTTTCAGGTGTCTGTTTGTATTAAAAGTGCAGTATACTTTTTTGCTACTTCCACCGCTTCAGAATGGTTCAAAAACAAATATTTTTTCCAAAATCGCTCCAAGAATTCAATGGACATAAAATCATGTTTCAAAAAGCCATAAATAAGCATTGCTTTCCGGAACAAGCATCTAAAATTCAACCTTATTGTTTATATAACCATTTACTTACTTTTTCACAAAGACAAGTGTTCATATTTTATATGTATGATAATATAAAATGTCAGTTTCCTCTCAGAAATATGTTGTTTTCAGTGTTTGCATTTTCTTCTGCTACAATGAGTATTTTCTGTAAACAATATTTGAATTTCAACTGAATCCATAATTAACCATGAATTCAATCAAAATAACACATTTATTTCGAAAGCTACCGTAACTATATGAAATTATTCGTATTTTTGTTTTTGCCGTCACCCGAATGATTAAATTCTGTGTGCCACTGTCGGTGGAGGGGAAGAGTTACAGTCTATCGCAGGTCTTCCCTCTCCCTGTGACTCCTGTGAATCTGGCGACTTTAACACAATCTGTGATGTGGCTAATGAGCAATGTCGGAGTACAGCGGGACGCGCATGGGGTCTTTCACCTCTTGTGGTCACCTGGATCTACACTGCATTGATGAGACCTATGTTAACGTACGGAGACATTGCATGGGGACCGAAAGTTCTACAAGCAACGACCATCCAAAAATTATATCAAATAGAGCGAATGACTTGTTTAAACATCACAGGAGCCATGAAAACAACACCAACCGCGGCAATGTAATTAATTACGGGTCTGGACCCTCTGGACCTGTACGTTGAGGAGGTTGCGTTAATGGCCATGGTACGATTGCGCACGGCTGGTGTTAACCTCGAAGTAGGAATGGGTCAATTGAGGCTGGGCCTATGGCGAGAAGCACTTACTGCGCAACCTCTGCTGCAGGCAACTAGTGATGCAATTGAACCCAGGTTTCTGTTTAATAAACCCTACAAAATACAAATAAAACAGAACACAGAGTCAGATGCTATAAATGCAATAGGTATATATACAGACGGCACAAAAACCAAAGAAGATTCAGGATATGGAGTGTACTCCAGATCACTAAGCCTAAGGATTAGGTAGGGAATGGAAAAAAATACCAGCGTGATCCAAACAGAACTGGCTGCTATCGCCACGAAAAAAATAACCAGGACAGGAATTTCTGTCGAAAATATAATAATCTGCACTGACAGCAGACAAGCCCTATTAGCCTTGAACAGACACGTGTAACCTCAGGGCTAGTACTAGAGTGCCACCAAGATTTAGCCAAAGCCTCAGTAGATAATAACATTATCCTGAGGTGAGTTAAAGGGCACGACAGGAGTTGAGTTAATCGCATTGCCGACTCTTTAGCCAGGGAGTTTTAGGAACCAGTGGCACCTACGGCGCCATAGAAATATCTGCCGATGACCAGGAAAAATCAACGCTCAACAGAAGGAATCCTAACTAGCCACTGTCAACTAAGGAAACACCTTCATAATATGGGGCTAGTGGACACACCTCTATGCAGGATGTGCGAACAGAACGATGAAACTGTCAGGCATGTCCAATGCGAGTGTCTGGAGTTATCGTCAACAAGAAAGTGTATATTCGGCGAGGCTTGGCCTACACCTGTCGATATGAAGGAGATGTCTCCTATGCTTAACAGTAGGGAAGAGTAGCCACTGTCAACTAAGGAAACACCTCCATAATATGGGGCTAGTGGACACACCTCTATGCAGGATGTGCGAACAGAACGATGAAACTGTCAGGCATGTCCAATGAGAGTGTCCGGAGTCTTGGCCTACACCTGTCGATATCAAGGAGATGTCTCCTAATGACCTGTCCACCTTTCTGGAAAGGACAGGATAGACGATGACCTAGGAGGATAACTCCTAGAGAGAATGTACAATGGGTCACATGTGGCTTACACTCACCCTCCATACTCTACAGATACAGAACACAATCTGTGTCATAGATATTAAATTATTGAGTCAATATATTATTTCTCTTTCCAATTGAATGAAAACGAAATTATAGTATAGCACAGTAAATAGTGTAAATGTGAGATGAGAAAAATATAATCAATTATTTATTATAATCGCAGAGATGAACGGTATCAGACTATGTTCCTGAGATACTATTACCGAGAGTTAGAGATTGTTTTTGAAACTTACCCTTCTTGACATTGTCCAATCTTGCGTTAAAACGCTCTAAAAGGCTATCAAGACGAGAGCTTGCAAGTTGAATGATGTCCTGTTGGAATTTTTGTGGGTCTGTAATGGCGTCTGTAACCAGTTTGTTAGCTATGTCGAGAATTTCTGTGAAACGTTTTTCTAGCCTGAGTGTGAGTCGCTTGAGAAGGTCGACAACTACATTATTCAGTCGGGGTTGGGGACTCGCCTGGGCCTGTAAAACGATTGATATATTCATTCAGTGGTTTACGTTAGAGTTAGAGCATTTTCCCGATCTTGTTCGTGCGGGTTGGATAAATTCGAAGTCAGCATTTTGGAATAGAGTGGAGTATTTTCTAATGACATGCTGATATTTACGGAGGTTATTTTTGAGTCCAATTCGAAAATTGTTGCTGTGCAACATACATTTTTATTAACCAGTTCCGTGGTCCAATGATTTCTCTGAAGGAATGTTGATTGGGTAACAGGATCAATTTTTTTGAAATAATAATAATATTACCATTTTAAAAACCATCAGACATACAAGACACGAATTCGGTTGTAGGTTGTTGCAATGTTTTTCATTTTTTTTGGTATGTATATAATAGGTATGTCTGATGGTTTTTAAAATAGACAAAATTGATCCTGTTACCCAACCAAACTTTCATCAGACACATTTTTATTTTTATCATTGCCGTCCGTGGGGATTCCCAATTGGTTTTTAAGAGGAAAGAGTCATACCATTCAATTTGGAGTGAAATAATTCAAGTTTATATTACTGAGAAAAGCATAGTCTATAATAAGACTTCTGAGTTTGCAAATATGCATTATATACGCTAATGCCATTTTAACTAAGGGTGTTTTCCCAAGTTGTTGAAAGAACGGTGTGATTATTCCTTTAGCTAAGTGCAAGTCTCCTTTGGATTTCTCTGACCTGAGGCCTATCACCATCCTACCTTGTCTTCCAAAAGTTGTTGAGATGATCATGAAGTGTTTTACATTTCAAAGAGGAAGATTTGAAATTCAATCGTTTGGAATGCTTCAAAATCAGTGGATTCGACAATTGTAAAAATGAAACTTATTGGTCACATAAAAGTGAATCCATTTCCTTCTGAATCTGATTTTTAATGTGGAAATTGATAATTAGTTTATTACAAGTTCATTTAATGAGTTGTTGAAATTTACCTCTACGATATTCACATTTCAATTAGTTTTTACCTGAACTGAATATGTTGGAGTTCATATTATTCGAATTGATATTATATACAGCAGAAAATCTTCGTTTATTGAGTTACGAGGCTTAGAACGAAGAAAAAATTCATCGAAGCTGATATTATCAGCTTGTGTGTGGTGACATATTATTATGGTGTGATGTTGACGAATCAAATGTAATACAGTCCAATTAATGGAAAAGAAAACAAGGGTAAAAATGAGATCATAGGTTAACCAGAAGAATGTGTTTTCAACTAGCTTGAAAGTTTCAGATATAGCTTAATTATAAAAAGAGCAGTAGACGAAAGTTGGAACAAAAATGGCTTAAGAAAAGTGTGAACAATATAATTTTTTTCCAAGGATAGAAAAATCTGACAGAACGAGTGTGTGAAAGAAATTATTTTAAATAGCCTTAACTCAATATTAATCATAGTGTGTATTTTTTATATCGACTAATCGATGTGTTAAAATTCTTGATCTTGAAGTCAGCCAAAATTTCAGCTTCTTCTTGAACAGAGATAATGAGTTTAGTTGTTTCATTTCATTTGGTAGATCGTTTATATCTTTGGCCCAAAAAACATGCTAGATCTCTGGGCTATAGTTTTAGTCACATGTGGAACTGAAATGGTGAAGTTTTTTGACCTTGTGGAGTAGGAATAATCTAGAAATATTTTGCTCCGATTTTTTTCTGGTCAACAGCAAGTATCAAATGAAATATTTGTTTTACATCTAATATATTGTCAAGCTTGTAGAGGTCATCTGATGGGTGCGTAATTGGTTTTCTGAATATTATTTTCAAAATTCATTTTTGAATTAATTCAACATTCTTTATAATGTTATTATATGCCCTTCCCCAAGCTATTATGCCATATTTCAGTTGGGATTCCACTAATGCGCAATATGGCATCAAGAGATGTTTTTCTTCAAGAATGTTTCTTAAATATTTGAATTTAGACAATAGGCTTCTAATTTTTCTAACTTCTAATGTGTAAGTTTGTTACTCTATTTCTGTAGCTTGTGTGATTTTCACGATACTGTTTTCACCTCTGATTTCAAGGGGTTGAAGACTGGGTAAGTTTTTGTTATTCACTGAAAAGGCTTAATATTTTGTTTTAGAAAAATTTATAGTTAATAGTTTGAAATTGAGCCAGTCAATGATTGTTTTAAAGTCATTTTGTGTTTTAGTGATGAACGAGTTCCAGTTTTCGGCTTCACAAAAAACTGCTGTGTCGTCTGCATAGCTTATAATTGTCCCATCAGTGTGGTGATTAAACAGATTATTAAGATATACTGTGAAAAGAATTGGACCAAGTATGGTGCCTTGAGGTACCCCAAACTTCATCACTTCATATTTACTCAAAGTATTACCTACTTTGACACACTGCTTTCTCTCACTCAAGTAACTTTTTATGAGAGTTGAACACGTTCCACGAATACCTAAATCTTCTAGAGCGTTCAGGAGTTTATTATGACTGACAGTATCGAACGCCTTGGCCACATCAACGAATATGCAAAGGCACGGTTTACTACTATCAAATGATTTATAAACTTGTGTAGTTAATTCCTTTATCGCATCCTGGCCTCTCTAAATCCAAACTGTCTAGATGAGAGGATATTATATTTCTCAAAAAAATCTGTTAACCTTCAAAATATATTCTAGAATTTTAGTTATACCAGTGATTAGACGAATCGGTCTATAATTTATGCATATAAATTTTTCTCCTTTTTTAAAAATGGGTTTAATAACTGTCGTCTTTAAAGATTTAGGCCAATATCCTGTCGTTAGTATTTTATTGATGAGCAGTGTTAGTGGCTCTAATATATTCTTCAATATGCTGCAGAACTTCCACTGATATTTCATCTATTTCTGTTGCTTTGTGTTTTTTTAAGTTGTTAATTATTTTTTCAACTTCATCTATATTTGCTTCTGTTAAATATATTGAGCTTTGGTTAACAGTTCGGAGTTGGTTAGTAGAGCAAGCAGCATTTACTGTTTTCCATAGTAGTTTTGCACTGTTTTTGTTTTTATCGATCTCTTTCTCATAATAATCAGCCTTAGATTTCTTCAACAATGTATTCAATTCATTTCTATACGTTTTGAATTGTCTCAATAGAGAATGATTTTCTTTATCAAGTTACCATTGATTGAATAACATATTCCTTCTGGCGACAGAGTTTACTAGAGCTGAGGTTATCCAAGGTTTTCTCGTTTTTTGTATTTTATTTGTCACCTCTTTCGTACTAGCATTCAATATTTCTTTTATTTTTTTTATGAATAGATCAGTTGCTGATTCTACGTCCTCGGTTGTATAGAAGTTGTAACACTTTTCACATTTCGTTAATATTTTGAGTTTGTGATAGTCAACTATTTTCTTAGTGTCGAATATCTGTCCATAATCTGTCCATAATCTCAATAAACCGAAACTTTTGCAAAAAATACAAAAAAACATCAATTTGAAATGCAATAAAATTCCATTATATTCACATTCAATCAATTTCAGTGCTTAATGAATTATTCGTTTCATGTAATATACTTTTGTACAACTATATCTGAAATATTTACTCACGTTGTTATAGTTTATGTGGAATAATCTGTCTCAGGACATAATAATATCCATCTATTTACCCTTATCAGTTGAAGTTATGGTGAATGACGAATCCTCATTATTTTTATCAAAATCATAAACCAAATACAAGAGACTGACATTATTAGTAGGTGACTGAGAATCGGAGGAGAGTTGAATAGAATATTGAATAAAATAACAAAATAGAATGGACAAAAAATGTTCAGATGCAGAAAATACTCGGGAAATTGAAGACAACTGCTCGAATCTATATATTATTATTATTTTCCCACACACTCTCATGAAGGAATGTATCAATCAATAAAAAGGGTTCATCATAAACAAAAACTCACCTGGGCAACCAGGAGGACACAAGCAACTGCCAAGAATTTCAGAGAAACCATTTTGCGTACAGTACAGAAAGCGGGCCTGATACTACGATTAGTGTTTTTCATCACATATTTATAACAATTTTCTGGTTACGTGATAGTTATATAGGTCAAGTGGAAAGCTCTCCATTTTCAATTCGCAGTACCATTGTTCTGCTATCATCAATATCTGTCAAAATTGCAATTTATAATCTGCAAGTAGTCATGATTCTGCAACTGCAAAAAAAATACTTGACAAACAAATGATAAATTGGCTTTGAAATTACAACTACAACAAATAATCATAACAAATGAAACAGTTGATGAAGTGTACAAGAAAAAATTTCTCCATGAAGGTAACTCAGAATATAACGTCAGAGGTCAGTGGTTCAATTATTGAAATATGAGTCATGAGTTGACTAAATATTGAGACACCTAAATATTCTGTGACTCTCAAAACATATTCCTGAGGAGACAACCAGTTGATTTTATAAATGTTTGAGTGCAAGTACATTTCACGTATTTTGAGGTATCATCCCCCCGGTTTTTTTGATGAATACATGAAATGGTTCAAAATAGTTATCGGTATATTATAAACATCTACTTTCATAAGATGGTTCCCAATTGATATGGAGTTTCTTATAAATATTCCAGGTGCTTATCATATGAAATTCTCAAAAATTGAATTGATGTATTGTGACAGAGTGGTCGTCATGTTTCATTCAATTAATGTATGGCACTAGATTACAGGAGGCGATCATGGACAACCCAATTTCAGTACAGTAGATCTGTACAAATCCCAGGAAGAATGTATGTTGGAATGGGTGTTATAAAAAAAATGTGAGAAAATGTAACGAGCATTTGTAGCTATCAGTTGGCCAAAAACTGATCTTTTTATACGGAATATAACGATATTTACTCAACAAATAGTTTTTTGTAAGGCCTCAACTATTGCTGTTTTAGCATCAGTCCATTCTTTTCACTTCTTATTTCCATAAGAAATTCTGTAATTTTTATCTAAATCATTCTCCTTTCGTCCACGTCAATAATTTATTCATTTATTTACTTAGCATATGGATTCTTTACAATACGACGAAAAGAAACTATAAGTAGAAATGAAAATGTCCAAATTGCACAGCCATTCCATTGCATCTTGGGAGCATTCTACGAAGTCCTGTAGGTTTCCGCCATGAGCACGGTTTGGGCAGTCTGAAACGATATGGCGGATTGTTTGTTTCGGTAATCCACAATCGCATTGTGATCTGTCGGCGAGGCCCCCCCATTGGTGTAGGGTGTCGGCACATTTATCCTGTCCTGTCCGTATTCGATTCAGCTTTGACCAAGTGGAACGTGGAAGGACTGATAATGACATAATAATATCTGTATCTGTAGAGTAGGGAGGGTGGGTGTGAGCCCCCAGCACTTAGGCCACATGTGACCCATTGTACATTCTCCCGAGGAGTTTTCCTCCTAGGTCATCGTCCATCATGTCCTTTCCTGGAAAGTGGTCAGGTCACTGGAAGACATCTCCTTTATATCGGCAAGACTCGCCGAACACACACTTTCTTATTGTCGAAAACTCCGGGCTCTTGCATAGGACATGCCTGACAGTCTCATCTTCCTGTTCATACATCCTGTATAGAGGTGTGTCCACTAGCCACATTTTATGGAGCTGTTTCCTTAGTTAACAATGACCAGTCAGAAATCCTACTGTTATGCGTAGATTTCTCCTGGTCATCGCCAGTTTCCCAGGGTCGCCAAGGGTGATCCTGGCAAGATTGCATCCTTTGATTCCATCCCATCTCTTTAGGGATTGAGCATGTGTGTAACATTTGGCCAGTTCCACAATTGTCGAAGTCATCAGGCCGTAGGCGCCACTGGGTCCCAAATTTTTAATCCAGCCGCTTTCTTGGCTGAAGAGTCAGTAATGCAATTACCTTTACTCCTGTCGTGCCCTTTAACCCACCTCAGGATAATGTTATTATCTACCGAGGCTTTGGCTGAATCTTGGTGGCACTCTAGTACCAGCCCGAGGTAACCCGTTGTCTGTTCAAGGCTAATAGGGCTTGTCTGCTGTCAGTGCAGACAGTTATGTTTTCCTGTTTATTTTTTTTGTGGCGATTGAGATACCAGCCAGTTCTGCTTGGACCACGCTGGAATTTTTTCCCATTCCCCACTCAATTCTAAGACTTAGCTATCTGGAGTACACTCCACATCTTGAGCCTGGGACTCTATGTTCTGTTTTATTTGTATTTTGTAGGGTTCATTAAACACAAAACTGGGTTCAATTGCATCACTGGTTGCCTGCAGCAAAGGTTGAGCAGTAAGCGCTTCATGCTAATTGAGTCAGCCTCAATTGACTGATTTCTACTTCGAGGTTCACACCAGGCGTGCCCAATCGTAATATGGCCATTAACGCAACCTCCTCAACACACAGGTCCAGAGGGGTCAGACCCGTAATTAAGTCCATTGCGGCGGTTGGAGTTGTTCTCATGGCTCCTGTGATGTTCAAACAAGCCATAGGTCTTATTATTGCAGTGTAGATCCAGGTGACCACACGGGATAACACACCCCATGTGCATCCCACTGTCCTCCAACATTGCTCATAAGCCACATTTGCTCTTTTTGCTCTGTTCTGTAGGTGAGACTTTCATGTTAGCTTCCTGTCGAGGATACTACCAGAGTATTTCACCTCTTCAGAGAAGTTTAGTTTGATTTTGAAGATTGCAGGAGGTTTTAAGCCCAATAAACTTCTTTTCCTGGTGAAAATGAACATCTCAGTCTTCTTGGGATTGATCGACAGTGAGTGTTCCTTACACCATATTTATATTAACTTGAGCCCATACTGCACTCTGTCGCACTCTGTCACAAATTTGCCGGTCTGCAAGATAATCATGTCACCTGCATTTGTAATTGTGTAGATGCCATATGTTCCAGAGAAGGGGTGATAAGACCCCTCTCTGTGGACATCCCCTCATGACAGTTCTCCCACTGTGATGTCTTCTACATTGATACTTATTGCTCTACTAGAGAGCATCTTGAGTATCAATTCTCCTACTACCAGGGGTACATTCCTGGAGTTTAGTTGCTGGGTAATTGTTGGAAAGATTGTTTTATCAAATGCTTTCACGATATCTATGAATATACCCAGGGTGGAGTCTTTGTCGTCCAATTCTCTCTCGATTCTGCTAACCACATGGTGAAGGGCCGAATCAGTAGACCTTCCCGGAGTATATGCATGCCGATTTGGATGAAGTGGGTTGTGAACTAGTACTTCTTATGTACCGCTCACATAGCCTCTCCATAGTTTTTAGGAAGAATGATGTGAGACTAATTGGTCGGAATGTTTTTGGTAATGTGTAGTCCATCCTACCTGGTTTGGGTATAAATACTACTTGTACTTCTCTCCACTTACTGGGAATATACTTCAGACCTAGAGAGGCTCTGAATATTCCAACCAGGTGCGGCATAAGAATATCCAGTCCCCATTGAAGTAGGGCTGGTCTTATACCGTCAGGTCCTGGTGACTTGAAGGGAGAAAAGCCCGATATGGCCCTGAAATACTCATTATTTTGGACTCAAACTACACTTTTAGTGTACTTTGAGCAATCCTTTCACAGCAATCCTTAGCAATCCTTTCACTTTTTTATATTGATACACTCGTCTTGAATATATGTTCATAGTTTCAGCTGTTTACAATATTAAGTTTGTTGGTGAAAGGCATACGAGTTAGAAGTGTTTCACGTGTTAGTCGATTTTGAGTTATCGAAAAAAATGGATAGAAAATTTGCATGAAATTTTGTGTGAAAAATGAAATCAAGTGCTCAAAAACACTTGAAATGTTCACAGTGGCATACGGTGATTGTAATCTGAGTCAGAAGGATGTTTACAAGTGGTAAAACAGTCTACAACCCATGAAAAGGTTGGAGCAGTGGAAAAAATTGTTATGGAGAATCGTAGAATCACTATCAGACAAGTTCGTTCCAAAATTGCTGAATTTTGACCAAAAAACAACCGTCGTTTGAGTATCGTTCAGGAACTGTTGAATCACGTCAACGGCGATCTAGATCTGCTTGAAAGGGTCATAACCGATGACGAATCATGAGTTTATGCTCATCGAAACCAAAGTCCAGTCGTCCCAATGGAAGGGCCCAGGACAGTCAAGACAAAAAAAGCACGCTAAGTTTGATCAAATGTTATGGTTTTGCTCACTATTTTCTTCTTCGAAAACCCTGGAGTAGTGCATCAGGAGTTTGTGCCACATAGTCGTACGGTCCATGAAGAGTATTATCTTGAAGTTATACGCCTCTTGCGAAAAGCAATTCGAAGAAAACGTCCGGTATTGTGGAAAAACAATTCATAGCTTTTGCAACATGATAATGCACTTGCTCATTCGTCGTTGTTGTTCGACATTTTTTGATTCCTCAGCCACCGTTTTCATAAGATTTGTCCCTCTGCGACTTTTCACATCATCAAGATTGAAGAGACCCATGTAAGAATAGCGTTGTTCGACGATTGAGGTATGAGGTCATACCAAAAAATGCATATCAGTACTGCTTCGAGGATTGGATAAAACCATCGTGGTATTAGCCAAAGAGGTAGCTGTGTTTCCAACAGGTCACGTGTAGGAACATCGGAAGACGTAAATGGGTCGAATTCCCATTCGAAGTATCTATTTTCTTGATGTACGCATCTCTCATCGAACTGATTCAAACACTTGTATCTACGCACTATAAGAGAGCCACAAATAGTAAAAAGCAGAGATATGGGCTAATGCCTCATGTACTGGACAAGCTGCTGGTATCATATACTTGAAGAAACGTGTGTATATGTTTTCATTTCAAAAAAATTTCTTGCATTATCTCTTCTTCATGTAGATTTTATTGATTTATTCCAGTTGGAGTCATAATTCCATTTCGCAATATATGAACAAATTCCCTCGAATTGGTTGTTAACATAATTGATCGGTAGTGTAGGATAAATGAATATTGAAAAATTGGTAAATGTTTGATGAACGAAGTTCAATTCTGATATGAAATTTTGGTGGAACTATTTTTACTTCCAAATCAGTGTTATCATAGTAATCAGATATGA